CGCGTGGAATACGCTCGGAGAGGCCGCCTGCGCCACGCGGGCTGCCCCGCAGAGGATCGTCGTCGAAGGTTCCCCTGCACGCAAGGTTCCCAATCACCTGCAGTTGGAACGCCCATCGGAGCTCCTCCTCCGTAGCTGGCACGGCAACATCGAAGTCTGCAGGTGCCCCCGCCATCGCGTGATCCGAGTCGGCGGGCATGCGGTAGTCCTCGGTGAACTCTACGTGCGCAGGTTGCCCCGCGATAGGAATGCCTAGCCAGTCTGCAGGGTCCATCTCACCGTGGCCAGCGTAGATCTCCACGAAGAACTCGTCGGCGCCCCTCTCGAGGGACACGCCGGCGCTCCGATACCTCGCAGACGCGACATGGACAGCGGCCGTGGGTTCGTCTTCGGACTCGGCGAGAAGAGTCTCCCAATCGACATACTGAATGCCGGACTCGGATTGAGCCATAGGCATCGACGGACCCCTGCCTCCCCCATCGCCTCGGGGGCATTCATGACGAAAATGTCGGGCGCTGTGGCAGATATCATATCATTTGTTTCTCCCCGTCGGCAATTTTCGGGCGACCCCTTCCTGGGGCGCGCCCACGGCCTCCACCTTTCCCAAGAATATCTCTTCAGACTGCGGCCCCGTAAGGGATGCCACGAATGCTAGCACACCTCTGCCATGAAATCTCCGTCGCTCACCCTTTCCTCTGCCCCTGCCCTTTTGATCTGAACGCCCGTCGGACTGCGCGTCGCACCTTTCGAACCGGCGTCTTCGCGTCTCCATCGGCGCCCATGTTTCTGGCGCCCTGGGAAAACCATGGCGCCTGCTGCTCTTCAGTGAGATACACAGGCATGTCATAATAAATCAAGCTACCATTTCCCTCATCTGATCAGGCGCCAGCGTCGGCGCCAGAATCAATCCGGACTCGACGGGCGGCCCCGCCGAGCCAACGAGGGCAGCGGCTTGGGCAGGGGCCGCCGTCGCCGACGACCCCTGACATCGAGCCCAGGAGTCTTGCGACACCGCGGGCCGGCCACCCTGTTGGCATGATAAAGTGGTGGCCTCGGTTGGTTGTGGATCGCCACTCCAGACGCCGTTGGCAGGTTGCCCCGCAGGAGTGTCGCCACGAAAGATACGAGCGCGGTGACCGCGGCCAAATACACCACCAGCGCTGCTAGGGGGTCGCTCAGCAACGCGGGCATAAGGGGCATAAGACCTCACTCGCTCCAGTAAGGCGTCAAACAGCTGCTGAGCTTTTGGCACTTGGTGGTTCAATGGTTGCTGCCATTGCTGCGCACGCGATGTACCAACACCTAGAGCTCTGAACAGTTTACCTGTTAGGATCTGGAAGTTTGGGACGTTGAGGCCAGCGGCGTCGGCCCCAAAGCGCGCTATCTCGAAGCGGGCCAACGCCCGGTCGATCCGTTCTCTCGCATGGGCGCGAAAGTCAATGAGAGCTGTTCCCGAGTTGAGTTGGCCTTCCTCTTCCAGCTCCTCAAACTTAGCGCCGAGGAGGAGCATGATGTAGGCGGCGCCATCGGTGTGGCGACCAACAACATTAGCATCGAAGTTAATTACTGCGAGGTGAACTCTCACGGCGATGGCCCTTGCGAGCCCTCCCAGGCGACGTTGTAGAGCCGCAGCCTGTTGGGAAGGGGTCACAGCGCCTGCGGCCGAGTTGATCCAGGCATGCACCTCGCGAGCAAATTCGCGGAAGGGTACGTTACAGGCAGGGCCCAAGCGGGGGGCCAGCGGCGCGCGCGTCGTCTCCACCACGCTGCATGCGTCCAACAGCACATCCGACAGCGACCAAAAGAAGGCCAAATATGGTAATACCGATCCAATGACCTCGTAGATCGTAATCGATTGTTTGTAGCTGTTGTGTACGCGGTGACGTTGCCGCCAGCTTGCGCGGGGTTGCAGGCGGCACAATGTCGCATCGCGCGTTGTCACGCATCGCACCTTCGAAGATATTTCCCACTGGAGTAGGTGGGTGGACTTCAGGAGTGCAGTAGCGCAGGGAAGTGGGACTCAAGAAGGAAAACTCCGCGTGAGCAGGGGCAGCGCTGCAAGTGTCCTTGCGATTGTGCGCGTGAATATACATTCCTCCGCGCAGAGCAACTGCACTCTGATGTTCCACCATGACAGTAGTCCACCAGATAGTGCCGTGGATGGTGAGGAGATGAGCGAAAGCCCTCCACAGGACACCTCCGCTACCAAGTTTGAGGGGGGTGGGAGGCCAAACCAAATGCTCCGCCTGAGGCGAAGCCCATATCCAACTCTGTCATACGGTAGCAACGATAATCCCGAGAGCAGGAGAGAGTCGCGGGAGAGACGAACCATGTCAAGCGAAGATGTTTTCGGTCTCAATGGCAAACAGTGTGCCTCGCGATGGGGCACAGTCATATGTTGGCGGCCGGCCCCTTGAGCCCAAACGGCCGCGGACAAACGCTCGCTACCTCTCGCCTTTGCCCAACCTCTTTTGGAGCGCACCTCCGCTGGCCCCCCAAGAGCCCACGAAAGTGGCGACGGTTTCGCAGATCGTAGCCCCCAGGGGGCGGAGAGGCCTCGCGGCGATCCGCGTATGATGTGCCTCCGCTGGCCCCCCAAGATGCCCACGAAAGCGGCGACAGCTTCGCAGATCGCAGGCCCCCCAGGGGACGGCAAGGTCTCGTGGTGATCTGCGCATGACGTACATCCGCTGGCCCTCCCAAGAGCCAACGAAAGTGGCGATAGTTTCGCGGATCGCAGCCCCCCAGGGGACGGCGAGGTCTCGTGGTGATCTGCGTATGACGTGCCTCCGCTGGCCCCCTCCCAGGAGCTCACGGAAGTGGCGACAGCTTCGCAGATCGCAGGCCCCCCCAGGGGACGGCGAGATCTCGTGGTGATCTGCGAACGACGTACCTCCGCTGGACCTCCTTGGAGCCGACGAAAGTGGCGACAGTTTCGCAGATCACGGGCCCCCCAGGGGACGGCGAGGTCTCGCGGTGATCCGCGTGTGACATACCTCCGCTGGCCCCCCCGGGAGCGCATGAAAGTGGCGACAGCTTCGCAGATCGCAGGCCCCCCAGGGGACGGCGAGGTCTCGTGGTGATCTGCGAACGACGTACCTCCGCTGGGCCTCCCAGAACCCCCACGAAAGTGGCGACGGTTTCGCAGATCGCAGGCCCCCCAGAGGACGGCGAAGTCTCGTGGTAATCTGCGTGTGTTGTATTTCCGCTGGCCCTCCCAAAAGCCCACGAACGTGGCGACAGCTTCGCAGATAGCAGCCCCCCAGGGGACGGCGAGGTCTCGCGGTGATCTGCGTATGACGTACCTCCGCTGGCCCTCCCAAGAGCCCACCAAAGTGGCGACAGCTTCGCAGATCCCAGGCCCCCAGTGGACGGCGAGGTCTCGTGGTGATCCACGTAGGACACACCTCCGCTGGGCCTCCCAGGAGCCCACGAAATGGCGACAGCTTCGCAGATCGCAGACCCCCGAAGGGACGGCGAGGTCTCGTGGTGATCTGCGTATGACGTACCTCCGCTGGCCCTCCTTGGAGCCGACGAAAGTGGCGACAGCTTTGCTGATCGCAGGCCCCCAGTGGACGGCGAAGTCTCGTGGTGATCCACGTAGGACGCACCTCCGCTGGCCCCCCCAGGAGCCTACGAAAGTGGCGACAGTTTCGCAGATCGCAGGCCCCCTAACGACAGCGAGGTCTCGTGGTGATCTGCGTATGACGTACCTCCGCTGGCCCTCCCGAAAGCCCACCAAAGTGGCGACAGTTTCGCAGATCGCAGGTCCCCAATGGACTGCGAGGTCTCGTGGTGATCAGCGTATGACATACCTCTGCTAGCCCTCCCAGGAGCCGGCGAAAGTGGCGATAGTTTCGCAGATCGCACACCCAAGGGACGGCGAGGTCACAAAGCAGGGAGGAGGAGTAAGAAAACGAGGAGGAGGAGAATGGAGGGAGGAAGAGGGAGGAGGAGGAGGAGGAGGAGGAGGAGGAGGAGGAGGAGCAGCAGGATCAGAAGGAGGAGGTGGGGACCGCAGTGCTATATTCAAAACGAATACCCAGCACAGGAGGGTTGGGAATAAAGAAAGGATGGAACATCTCCCCCCCTCTCTCTCCCCCCAAGAAATCCCCAAAGGCTTCCACAACGACTGGCAGAAAACATAATCCAATAGCTCGGCCATAATGTTTGCCCAACGGCTGGCCACGTCGATGTGTTTACAGAAGGGCTAGGGTGGCACTGGTTCGCCGCACGCGACTGAACAACGGAAGTCCTGGAGCGGCCAGAAGCCATGTGAAAGTCCTGAAAAAGCAAACACGAAGTCAAGGCTTCCAGCGCACTTCAGCTCGACAGTAGAAACTTCGAGGCGGTTCTCAGAAGGCTGGCGAAAAGCGGGCCAATATCCTGGATCTCAAAGTCCGCGCAACAGAGACGCACTGGCCGCCGCCCCATGCTGCAAGAACTCCTGGAGACTGTAGCCTGGTGTGCTGTACACCGGCAGACTGCCTAGAGGACGTCACAGAGCCTGCCAGGCCACCACGAGGGCACTGGAGCTTGAATTCTGACCACCGATACTCGGGAAAATACTAACACGGATTCTGGATCCGAGGATCTGGCGCGTGAGCGCCAGATCCACGGCTCAGGGAAAGTACCCCTCGAAACGTGAAGCCAGGGACATCTGATTCTACAACGGAATGCGTCAATTTCACATGGAGACGGCACCCGCCGCGAATCCACGTCAATGCATGTTGGCGCTTCCTTCAGATACCCCAGGGCCATACCCGAGCTGGACATCGCAAGTGAAGCTGCACTCGAAAACTAGTCCAGCCGAAAACCTCGGCCGACCGAAGAAGACCGGCCTGAAGGCACTGGCCTCGAAACGAACCGACAGAGAAAAGCGAAACGGGCTGACGGGCACTCGAAGGGCCCCACCCTGCCGAAACGATCGGACGCAACGTGATCCATCAAGTTGGGAGCTGCCACCTGACCAAGATTCCGGCCCGCCAAAAACGGCACGCCTGCTGCCCCTCGATGGTTGCAGGGTCCGGGAAGCTGCCCAACACGCTCTGCGGCGGCCCGGGGGGCTCCGGGACGCCGGTGCGCCTACGGGGCCGCACAGCTCGGCATAGACGACTGGACGTCCCGGGGTCAAAAAACTTTGACCGTGAAGAAATTGTATCCACATCTTCCTCTTCCTTGCTCCCCTTCCCCTGCTCCCCCTTCTCATCCTAGAAGGTCCTCAGGCGACAGATATTCAAAGCTAACTTGTTTTGCGGGCAGAAAAGACCCGATGACGTGAAGCATTATGGTAAGGCTTTCTCGCAGCGCAACGTCGGTGTGAACTCGGTGTGCTGCCTGGCGAAACGTTTTCTACAGCTCGGTGGCGCAGAGAGCCCCCTGCCCGCTTCGCACCTGGCAGGCCTCACGCGAACTCACCCCCCTGATCCCAAGGCATCGTCTTCAAGTTCACATTTCTAACGACCTCTTTCAGGGACTCCTTGGTTGAAAGGTCTTTTTCCCGAGGCGTGGGGTGGACGGATCACCCCGCGCCACGCTCTTGGGAACCTCGAAGTGGGCCACTATGGCGCTTTATCCAAATCAAGGCTCTCCAGGCTTCCCCGTCTCGTCCTTCACACTCATCGATCAATGCGAGCTAAGCAAGGTTGGGAAGGTTCCTATTGACCTGCTTCTCATTCGTATACCCTCTCTTCCGCGCAAGCTTGGAGCCACCACAGGCAGAGGATTATGTTAACACGCAATCCTGCTTGCTACACCCTTGTGCAGAGGACAAGCCAAATGTTCAAGATCTATTTAATTGTCGCTTGTCGACTCTACCCGTATACATGACGAAAGGTCCTCTCATGGGCCTGACGCTACTCTCCAGTTCTCTACTGGTCGTAACGCTTCTGTGTTTCAAAATATCGCCCGTGAAAATTAGATTAAGGATGCGGAGGTCACTACCGAGGAGCAGGAGCTTGAGACCACCCATTATATTGCCATGGCTGCCGTTCAGGAGGCGATCTAGAGGCAGCCGAATACATGTGGGCCGCGTCCGATGTTCCTCCTCCGCCTCCTCCTCCTCCTCCTCCTTCTCATCATCATCATCATCATCATCATCATCATCATCATCATCATCATCATCATCATCATCAGCATCAGCATCAGCATCATCATCATCATTACCACCACCACCACCACCATCATCATCATCATCATCATCATCATCATCATCATCAGCATCATCATCGTCCTCCTCCTCCTCCTCGTCGTCATCGTCATCATCATCATCATCATCATCATCATCATCATCATCAGCATCAGCATCAGCATCAGCATCAGCATCATCATCATCATTACCACCACCACCACCACCACCATCATCATCATCATCATCATCATCATCAGCATCATCATCGTCCTCCTCCTCCTCCTCGTCGTCATCGTCATCATCATCATCATCATCATCATCATCATCATCATCATCATCATCATCATCGTCATCGTCATCGTCATCGTCATCCTCATCGTCATCGTCATCGTCATCATCATCATCATCAGCATCATCATCATCAGCATCATCATCATCATCATCATCATCATCATCATCATCATCATCGTCATCATCGTCATCATCGTCATCATCATCATCAGCAGCATCAGCATCATCATCATCCTCTTATGGGAAGCAACGCTGCCTCGAAACAACGGCTCTGGCTCGGGGCAAGCTAGACCAGTGGTCCTGCTGGGTGGCGATGCGTCCTTTTCGGCCTGCCGAGGGGCGACACGACGCTTTACAAGTCGCCACCAGCAAAGACCGTACAGCATAGAGAAAAATCGTCGGGAACCACATGGAACTGATCCTTCTCAGGGTGAAGGCCAGACTTCCGCATTCTCACGTTTCGGATCGACGTGAACGTGGGAGGACCACAACCCTTGCCGAGTGGACTATTGCAACGCAAAGAATACAGTACACAGTTTCCACTCTGGGCCCCAAGCGCTGGCAGAGTAGCAAGCAAATCGCTCGAAGACAACCGCACAAAAGAGAACGGAGAGGGCGAACATAAAGTTGAATGCACTGGGTGCACCAGGCCGGCTCAAACTGAGACGACGGCTCACCATGCAAACCAGGAACGCAGGGTGCGCGGACCCCAAATAGGCAAACACACGCAATGAACCTGTGGGCCTGGGGGACAAGGCAACAGCACTGAGGTTCCAGAGTGCTCGTGCGAGGTCCCCGAGGGGCCTGTTTGGGACAGCGGGGCCTCGGCAGCCCACCGCCCCACCAGAGGGCTCAGGAGGCCGAGAGGGACAGGAGGAGACTCTAGCCCGTCAGGAGACGCTCCAAGGAACGTCGGGGCTGACCCTGGCGACTTCCCAGAAGGGGGCGGCTGCAGCCAGCATGCGTGTCCCTGGTTTGGGCGCGGGCCCAGGATCACAACCTGGCGGTCGACTGGCCGCACACGCTCCTTGGCTGCCCCTTTAGCTCTGGCCAGCAATGCTACGCGGGGCTCCGGTGGCTGCCGCTCCCCGGCGAAGGACGCTCCCCCTGCGGCTGGAATTAAATGCCGCAGGGCAACTTGGATCAACCATCCCCGTCCGAACCCGACACGGACGTCGCTCATGGTCTCTCGCAGCAGTTCCCTTGGCTTCCCTCACTGGGAAACCATACACAGAGCTTCAGAAGTCTCAAATATGCCTCCCATGAGCAGCAGCCCACCTCCCCTCCGCCCCCCCTCCCCCGACGAAGGACGTCCAGGAGCTGTCCTCCCACAGATGCGCGGCAGAAGGCGCAGAGAGAGAGACGCAATTCAAGTTTTTGCTAGACGCCCGACACCTCGCGGCCAGCCACCGCGAGTCCACGCGTGGCAGAGCCCCCGCAGGAAGCAAGGGTGGCTGCGACGGCGCCACCGCGGGGCCTCCGCACCTCAGTGGTGGGACAAATACCGCAACCGTGCCGGTGCGATGGTGGAGTATGTAAATGATTGCTGGTTGCCTGGCAGGGTTCTGTAATCTTCGAAGGGCCCTACCCGCGCGCGTGGTTTGAAGATCGCGAATGGCTCTCCCCTGGAACCCTGTCTTCAGCCTCCTCACGGCTCCAAGACGGCCAGGAAAACCCAAAGAAATGCTGCAAGACGCTGCACCACTATCCAAAGACGGCCCGACGAGCCCGCACAGACTCCAAGATCTCCCCGATGTGCATGTGCCATGAGAGGCCCCGAAAAAGTCTCCAAGAGGTTTCCACCGAGGCCCCGCGAGGCGAAAAAGCATGAAGTCCAAATTGTTCTGACCCAGTTCCCCTGGCTGAAATCCCTCTGGGGAACGATCTGCATGAGTGGTGCCGCATCGCGCGGGGGTCCCCACGCGAACGCGCCCACTGCCGCAGGCGGAACGCCCTGCGTGAGAGATGCGCCGAAATGGGCGGGGGAACCCAATGAGATCTAGCCCATTGTTGCCGTAAGCGGAACTCCCTGCGAGGCACGATCCGCGTGAGAGGTGTAACGAAACAGGCAGTGGATGCCATGCGAACTTGTCAATTTGGGTCCATGATCCGTGCGAGCACAGGGCAAGACAGGACAGGACAGGACAGCGGCCCGTAGGGAGGCGGTTCGGGCCCTCCTCCCTGGCTGCGCGCCCTGGCGGGACACGAAGCAGCGTAGATTGCAAAATTGAATGAAATATTGACAGAATCACTGCGCACGACCTGGGAAGGGGTTGCGACATGCGAAAGAACGCGGTCCACGGGCGCTTGCCTTGGGAACATTCGGCGGCGCGTTTCGAACCGGGGAGCGGGCCCCCCCAAACACACAGCGCCGTCGATCAAAACCAAAAGGACTACCTCCCCCCAACCCCCCACCCTCGCGAATACCCCCCTCTCCCAAGGGCCCAGGGGGGGGGTCAAAACCCCCAAACCACCCCAGCGCCGGTGCCATCGCTGGCGGCCGCCAGCAGCGCCGACGGCGGTGACGCAGCGACGATGACCAGAGGCAGCCCAGGGGAGGGGGGGTTCAACCCCCCCCCCCCCGGGCGACGGGGAGGGGTTCAAACCCCCCGTCCCCTCTGGCGCTGGCGCCGGCGCTGGCGGCGGCCAGCAGCGCCGGCGCTGGCGCCGGTGACAACAGAGACGCAGCGACGATTACCACCACTACCACCACCGCCACCACCACCACCACCGCCTCAACCCACCACCACCACCACCACCAACTCACCACACAACCACCACCACCACCACCACCACCACAGCCACCACCACCACCACCACAACCAGCTGGCGGGCCTCCCCCAGACCCCCGCCCTCGGACGGCGAGGTAGCCTCTCCGCTCGAGCCCCCCCAAGTGCCGCGAGCGGCGCCCCCGCGCCCAGCAGCGCTCTGCCGATCACCGCCGCGTTGACCGCCATGAGCAGGCGCGCCGAACGCGAGCCGCCCATGGCCAGGCGGCGGCAACAAGGTGCCACCCAACCTGCGGGCCCCAACTGTTCCTGGAGTCGCCTGCTCTGCTTCTCCCAGACCCAGCGGGCTCGCATGGGCGGACACGCCTGCCACCGCGCCACCCAGGCTGGGGCCCGCAGCCGCGCGAGGGCATTGTCCCCCTCGAAGGCCGCCACGCCCCACGCGTACGTCGGCGCGCACATCGAGGCCAACGCCGCTTCGCCGCGCACCCCGCGGCGCCCTCTGACGCGGGGGTCGGCCCAGACGTAGCTGTTCGCACACATCGCTAATTCTTCGGCACCACGCTGAACCCGCAGTGGGCCCGCGCGAGCTCGGTCGCCTCGAAGGTCCACATGTCCTTCGGGAGGTCGTCGCCCAGCAGGTACCTCGCGCGCGTCGGTCGACCCGCCCGCGAACGCGGAGCGCGCCTCCAGTTCCTCGAAGATCGCGCCCGACTTCCCGCTGTAGTCCAGCGCGTTCTTCTCCTCACTGCACAAGGCCCGCTCGCCCCCCGGCAGCGCCTCCAGCAGGCCAACCACTCGGTCGTCCTAGGGCTCGGCAATGGCGAGCGCGCCCAGCACAACATGCTTGGTGATTCCCTTTCGCTCTCCCGCGCAGACGCCCTGCCCCCCTCGCCTTGAGTCGAGCACCGCCGGTTGGCCGCCCGTCGGAGCAAGCCCCCAGCAGTCGCGCTCGAACCTCGCCGCGTCCTGCAACGCGCGCTGCTGCGCGAACCTCGAGGCCAACATATCACGCTCGTCGCCCGCCCCCCGTCGGCCCGTCGGTCTCGCCCCCGGGGAACCACCGTCAATCCCGCCCACGAGATCGACGAGCCCGCAGGCCCGACGCCACGCGCGCAGGCGCCGGGCCACCCTCGCGCGAAGTCTGCCCGACGAGGGCTAATGCTGAAGAGGCCGATCTGGCCGTGGCACAGGGAAGATGGCCCCGGCACGGGCCCCCAGCCACTGCAGCGCCCGCGCGCGCGAGCCAGGCTGCCCCGCTGCTGGCACCACTGGCTGCCACCACCGCGGCGGGGCACCACATTGGGTCGAGGATGGGCCGCGAGCCCCTCGGCCCGCCAGTTCCCGCCAAGCCTGGGGCCCACCGCGACCTGAGGGCTTGCCCCCTCGGCCGCGGCCCTGCCCCCTGCCCCTGCCGACGTCTGCTTGAGCCTCTGCCGCCAGCTGCCTAATCGACACTGCCGCCACTGCTCCCACTGAAGCCACCGCCTCGACTGACTGCGCGACCTTCTCGCTTCCCCGAAGCGGCCATGCGCTCGCCCAGCAGGTGCCGGGCCCTGCTGCACGCCGCGGCCCCCGTCACAGGCCGCGTCGGCGCCAGGTCAGCTGACGACCCGGGCGGTCGCACGGCCATCATGGCCGCCGCGCCCACCTCGTCCTTCTTCCACATCTCGTAGACGTAGCTGTCGCAAGCGCAGCTCCAGCGCGTCGCCCGACGCCGAGCGCGCGAGCACCTCAGTCTGCAAGCGGCAGGCCCCTAGCAGGTAGTCAAAATTCGTAGCCGCTGCCCACAGGTCGGTCCGCACTGCGGCGCGCCCCTGCCCGCGCATCGGTAGATCTCCGGGGCCGCGCGCTTCAAGTCTGGGGGCAAGCTCAGGTTCAACTTCGACTCCCCCTGCTGAGCGGCGGCTGCCGTGGCCGGGCGTCGGGCAGGCCAGCAGGTTCTCCATCCAGCTCCTGCGGCAGCGAGGTACCTGGCAGGCTCGTGGCGCCAGCCCCCACGTAGCCGCGGCACTGCAGCAGGCGGCGGAGGTCGGGGCGCAAGACCTCGGAGCAGCCCACCGCGTTGATCCTCTCCCAGAAATACCAGGCCCAGCACACGTCGGTGGACGACCGAGACTGCAGCTCCGTCGGCGTAGCTCGCACCACGGAATTAGCCTGCATGCCCAGCTTCACTGCGCCCCCCGGCGCGAAGGGCGCGCGCGGCCCACTGGACCCGGCCCCGACCCCAACGGCACCAGGGGCGGCCAATCCCCCCGCTCCTGGAGGGGCCATCTGGGCCGCGGCCTTCCGGCTGAAGGGGCCCTCCACCACCTGGCTCGCCCCTAACGCACCCAGCTTCTCGGCGGCCCCCCACGGCCCTCCGACCTCCGGAGCGGGGCTCCACGAAGGGGCGGGCAGCGCCGCTGGGGGGAGGTTCCTCCTCCCGACGGGCTCGGCCCAGCGGCGGAGACCCCGCTGGTGGTCGTTGTGTCTGGGTCTTCGGCCTCCGCCACGTCCTCGGTGAATTACGACACCAAGCCAGCGCCGCCGCTGTCGCAGGCACCAGCATAGGCCCGTCGTCGTCGCCACTTGGACCACCACACAGCACAGCGTCGAGGCAGCGTCCGCACCAGCAACACGCAGCCCGCCAGGAAAGAAAGGCCTCCCCACACGCGGGTCCGTCCCGCGTCTGCCAAGGCCACGGTCGCCGCACTGGCTGCCAGTAGCCTTAGCTCGCAGTGCATCATCCAGTCGACCCCGGTCACGTCCTCCTCTTCGCCGATGGCATGGGCCCAGATCTTGTTGGCCAGCCTCGGCCAGCCGTTCTCGTCCCCCGTCACGCGCCTCATTATGGCCTCCGCTTGGGTGCTCTTGACACCTGCCTCCACGAAGGACCACAGCACCTGGTGCATGTCCGTCGCCCCCAGCAAGGGGCCCCCCATCGCCAGCTCCGTGGCCACGGGCTCCAGTGCGGTGACAGCTTATCACCCTCGGCCGCCTTGGACTTGGGGGCGGCCCCTGCGTTGATGTTAGCCCGCACTCGGACTATCAGGTCAGCCACGGCGTCGTCAGTCACGTCAACCCCAGCCCCACACAGGGCCTCCAGTCCGCAGCGCCGTGCTTCCGCCGCGATCACCACCATCTCGGCGGCCCCTCAGGCGAGGTCCGCTCCGTCAACTGTCGCCTGCAGTTCCTGGGATCCAGTTGACCGCACCTCTCAAATCCACGGGTGTAGACCGCAAGTCCCCTCAGGGCCCCATGGCGCGGGCCCTGTTAGCGGGGTGGGCCCCCGCCCAAATCCTGCGAGAAACTCGAAGAGGCTTCGGAGCACAAGCGGTTGCGGAGCGAACATAAGGTACACAGGAGCCACGCGCACAGCGCGCGGGAGCCCCCGAACCAAACCTTCGGGGCTCCAAAAACCACGCCACTAAGCCCACCCGTTTCGGGGGCCGGGGGGGCACAGGTGCCCATGGCCCCACAAAAACGCCAGCTGACACCTGCTCGTTCCTAGAGGCTACTAGGCTCCACACGGGGAAATTCACGATCCCACCCAAAGTGTACACTTCCACATTAGTACATATTCACCGTCAGCATCATCCTCATCATCATCACCACAGCATACCATAACATATCATGGCACATCATAAAACAACATCTCGTAACATAGCATGGCATATCATAACATAGCATACCATAACATACCATGACATAACATACTCTTATCGTCATCATTCGGCATCATCATATTCAGGGTGCATCAGCACACTCTGAACATGAAGGGGAAGAGAGGGAGGAGGTGAGGAGGAGGTGAAAGGAAGGTCCGCGCGGTCACAGCAACGCAGAGAACCTCATCGTTTGCATATAAGGAAAAACAAAAACAACTATATGGGGAAAAAAGGAACGCGCGAGATCGCCAGCCAGCAGCTATGCCCTTACGGACAAGGCGGGCAATTTGGAGCCCTGCCACAAAATGCTATAGTCGAGGACTTCGTCGTCCTTACTCTTGCCAGGATTACCCATCCACGTACCACTGGTTGCACTGTCTGTGGGGAACTCGTAACGCCGTCGTCCAACAGCTCGCGCTGTCCGCCGTGTCAGGTGCGTACCCCAAGAACTCATTTCAAAACTGGTGGGTTGTTAATGGCTGTGGCTTTCAAGGTGGCCCAAGCTGGTCTCAAAGAGGACCCCGCTTCAAAGAGCACCCCGAGAGAGTCTCAAGATAACCCTGCGAGCAAGTCTGCGAGTTCCGAAAGGGGAAGCCCCTATGTTTGGCCTCCAGGATGGCCTCAAAGGATCCAAAAACAGCCCCTGCAACCATCCAAAGCTCGCGGAACGGCCCCAGAGAGCCCCAATATGGCTCCGAGAGCCCATGACCTTCCAAAAACTCGCGGAACGGCCCCAGCGAGCCCCAGTAAAAAACTGCTCCGAAGGCCGGGTGTCCGCCGCCTACAGCGAGACCTCTCGCCGAAGGCGGGCGAGTGCAGGTCCCTGCAGAATGCCGACACGCCGCCACGCTGGTTCCGGGCAGGCTGCGCGGTCCGGCGGAAGGGGACGAGAGGGGAGAATCAAGCAGGCGACGACGGGAGCCCAGGGACGGCGGGGCGGGCGGGCAGGCAGAAAACGAACCAGGCGGAAACAGCAGGCACGGAGCAGGACGAAAGGAAAGGGAGGGAAGCAACGAGCAGAAGGAAAAGGAGGAGGAGGAGCAGCAGCAGCAGCCGCAGCAGCAGCAGCAGCAGCAGCAGCAGCAGCAGCAGCAGCAGGGCCGGGCCAGGGGCCGGGAAGGAAAGGCCACACGCGACGAACCTACGGACACTACAGCGGCGACAGGGGGGTCGGCGCGGGCGTCCGGAAAGGCGTCGGGTGGGGGTCGCGGGCGCAAGGGCGTCGGGAATGGCGTCGGCGGGGTCGGCCGCGGGCGTCGGGAATGGCGTCGGCGTCGGGAAGGGCATCGGCCCCTCGGGCGCCGCAACACCGCCCGCGCGTTCTCCCTGCGCAGGGAGACGGAGGGTCGCTGGGCGCGTTGGTCCGCGACCAGAGCGGCGTCTTCCCCCGCGGCGTCAGCCACCCGCTTGGCCAGGACCCCGAAGGCCCTGCGCGCCTCGCGGCCCCACCCGCCGCCATGGGCCTCCACCACCATGGGGATGAAGGTGAAGCCCTGCTCCGCGCACAGCCGCGCGGTGTCCTGGCGCTGCCTCTTGAACTCCTCGCATCGTTCCGTCGGCGCGCTGGGCGACGCGGCCGACGCGGCGAGGAGATCGGCGCGGAACCCGGACGCGGCGGCAAAGTCCCAGGCGGCCGCCGTGCCGCTGCGCCACCTCGGCAGGTAGACGTCGGCGGGGCGGCGGCCGTTCTCGCCCACCAGGGGCCCGCCCTGCCCGCCCCCGGGGGTGGCCTCCCCGGCGGGACGCGCGGGTAGCAGCACCGGGCGCCCCACCTCAGCCCCGGCGCGACCAGCGGCCAGGGCGTCGAAGATGGCCCGGTCGCGCCGGGCGTTGCGGCGTTTGGTCCTGTCGCCGCGGCAGGCGCAGACCAAGGCTTGGTCGCCGGAGACATCCATCACCTCGCCACAGGCCGGGCAAAAGCACCCCCCCTGCCAGAGCTGGACTCGCAGCCGCCTCTGCAGGCCGACCTGCATGAGACCGCGCGGGAAAGCGGCGCCGGCGGCCTCGCAGGGCGGCGCCTGGAGCCACGCGGCGGCGCCCGGGGCCTGCACCAGGGAGAGGCGCGCTCTGCCGGCCAGGGTGGCGCCCGCCAGGGGCCCTTCGAGCGTGGCGCTGTCCACCGCGTCGGAGAGGGCTTTCTGGTCGCTGCGCTGGGCGCGGTCGAACACCACCTTGTCGGCGTCCCGCGCGACTGCGCTGTGGGCCTGCACCGCCGCCGCCAGGCTACCTCCGTCGTGGTCAGCGCCGTTGGAGCAGCTGGGGTAGAGCCGCTCGCAGAGGTCTGCGCTTTTCGCTCGGGAAGCAACGTAGGCGGCGGCGGCGCGCTGCGCGGCGGAGCGCAGGCCGAGACCCCCCTCGTCGAGCTTGAGCTGAGCCCGCCGCCAGGAGGCGTCGGAGGGAGAGCAGCCGCTTAGTTGCTCCAGGCAAGCCCGGACAGCGTCGCCCACGGCCACCAAGGAGGCGGCGTGCGCGGCGGGCGGCACCACGCGCGCGGAGCAGCCCAGCTTGCAAAAAGAAGCGCGCTGCCGCAGGAGGCGCAGCGCGACCTGCGCGTTTTCGAGCGCCCCCAGAGCCTCGAGCAGGGCGGCGGCGTCAGCCACCCGCTGCCTCGCGTGCCCCGCGCAGAAGTCAGCGCACCCTATTGGCGCGCCGACCAGCTCAAAGCTGCGATCGGTGCGGAGGCGGAACCCCCTCTGGGAAGCCGTCCGGAGAAGCATCGGAGGCGCCTCCGCCAGTAGGGACAACCTCGCACTTGCCCGGGCCGGTGCCCAGCTGGAGGCCCACCGCGGAAAGCTCGGCCACGAGCAAGCGGAGGAGGCGAGCGACGGCCGGCGCGTCGCCCGCGAGGCAGCCATCGTCCAAGTAGAAGAAGCTCAGGTCGGAGAGAGCGTGATCCACCGCCGCTTTACAATGGAAAATTGCCAACCTTTTCCTCCGGAACCCGGGGGTCTCCCCCCCCGAAAATCCCCCCCCTGCTGGACCCCCCCCCCTCCCCCCGGCAAAACCCCCCCCCTCCCCTAACCCCTCCCCCCCCCCCCTCCCCCTCGAAAACCGGGGGGGCCACTACCGGGTCGAACCCCCCCCCACTCTGGATCCGGAAGACCGGGCGGGGCCACTACCGGTTGGAACCCCCCCCCCCTCGAAAACCGGAGGGGGGTCACTACCGGTTCGACCCCCCCCACCCCACCCCACGCACCGCCAGCAAACGACTCCCGGTCCGCACCACCGCTCGCATCACATCCCCTACTGTTGTTCCCAGCACCACTGTCCTCACCACCACTGTCCCCACTGGTTCGACCACCGTCCCTATTGTCCCCACCAGTGCCCCCACCACTGTCGCACTGTCCCCACTGTTCCCACAACTGTTCCCACCACGGTTCCACTCTCCCCACTGTCTCCACGGACCCAACCACTGCCTATCCCCACTGTCCCCACTGTCCCACTGACTCCTCCGCTGTCCCACTGAGCTGTCCCACTGTTCCCACCACTGTCCCCACTGTCCCCACCACTGCCCCCACTGTACCTCTGTCCCATTGTCCCACCGCCGTCCTCGCCACCGCCTTTACCAGTGCCCCCACCACCATTGTACCCTCCACTGCCCCAGTGTTTCCACCTCATTCCCACTGTCCCCACACCACTGCCCCCACCACCACCGTTCCCACCACTGTCCACTGCCCCCCCTGTTCCCACCATTGTCCCCACCACTGTCCCCACCACTACCGTCCCCACCACTGTCCCACTGTCCCCCCAGTGCCCCCACCACTGCCCCGCTGCCCCCTCACCACTGCCCCCACCAACACCGCCCCCACAGCTGTCCGCACCCCCACTCGGTTTTCGAAGGGGGGGGGGGTTCGAACCTGCACTGACGCCCCCCCCCCTTTTCATGATGAGCTGGGGGGGGGAGGGGTTCGAACCGGCAGTGACCCCCCCCGGTTTTCCGGGGGGGGGGGGGGGTTCGAACCGGTAGTGACCCCCCCCGGTTTTCCGCCAGCAGCGGTAGAACACGCTCTTTCTCAGGTCGACGACACCGTCGGCGTCGTTGCGCAGCGCGCGCAGGGCGGCCTCGGCGGCGCGCTGGAGGGCAAGAGAAAACAGCAAAAGCCCTAGGGGGTCCCCCTGCTGCACCCCGCTCTCGGAGTCGACGGTCTTCTTGCCCAGGAAAAGAGTCGACGGGCGGGAGTAGCACCAGTCGGCCCATGGTGCCAGCGCGGGGAACTCTTCGTGGACAGCGCGGAGCAGGACCTGCCAGTCCAGCGTTGAAGGCGTCGGACAAATCCAGCTTCACGAATACCTTCCTCCGGTCACCGAGGTGACGGGTCCACCACTGGCGCGCCACGTGCACGGCCGCTTCGGTGCCGCCCGGGACCGCGGCGCCGATTTGGAGGGGCCCCAGTCGGTCCGGCGCGGCGTCGGCCCCCTCGCGGCAAAAGCACTTGCCGACGAGGCGCTGGAGAACCTCCCCGACGGCCACTGGGCG